GGAAGCGGAGCAGGGGCAGCAGGTGGACTCAGTGGCGCTTCAATGAGGGATCAGGCGACGGAGAATTGCGCTGAGGCGTTTCGTCGTGTTGGCCAGGCTCGGGCGTCGAGGCAGGGGACTGAGAGTCAACTCTAAAACGCTGGGGCAAGAGATTTCGCCGCTGCAGGTCATCGTCATTCAGGGAGCCTTGAAAACGCGTAGAACGAGCTGGGAGTCGACGTGAAGGTGCAGGATATGGCCTGTATCCGTCATAGTTGTCGAGTTGACGACGAACTGCCGGACGCTGTGGGGCCGGCGGAGGCGCAGGAGGTGCAGGAGGGCTGGGCGAACGTGCCGGACGGTCAGGGGAATTTTCGCGGACGTCCTGGGGCGCAGGGAGCTGATTTTGCGGTGGAGGTGCAGGAGGTGCAGGATCATCAGAGTCGTCTCCCCCCTGATCATGCAGCTCTGGCGCATCAGGGACGTCCTCAGCGGGTTCGCCGTCGTCGTCTGCGGGTCCTGGGACGTCAACCTCGTCGAGAGGGAGGCCGAAAACATTTATGAAGGGCGAATTTCCAGGGAAACAGCGTTCGTCAAAGACAGCATGCGACGAAATGATGAATTTCTTCGCAGCAGGGTCCCAGAACCGCCAGGCCTTGGTGCCCTCAGGATAGCCGACGAAAATGCACTTTCTCGTGTGCGGCTGCATCGCCTTGCAGTCCTTCTTCCGTACCAACACATAGGCAAGGCAGCCAAAAATGCGGAAGTAGGAGACATCTGGCTTGCGCCCATCGCCTTTCCAGGCAGCCCAGGGCACAGCACCTCGCAGGGACGACGTAGGCATGCGGTTCCTTGTGTGGACGAAGGTAGAGACAGCATGGCCCCAAAACGACGGAGGGAGCTTCGACTGAGCAAGGAGGGCAGTCCCACCCTCAGCAATCGTCCTGTTAGCTCGCTCTGCAACACCATTCTGGTGGGGCTCGTCTGGTTCAGTGTGCTGACGCTGGATGCCATACTGAGCGCAAAAATCAACGAACTGCTTGCCCATGTACTCCCCACCCTTGTCGTCGCGCGTAGCCTTCAGGACGAGGCCTAGGGCGTTTTCGGCGTACGCCTTGAACGCCTGGAACGCAGAGAATGCGTCGCTTTTGCGCTTCAGGAAGGCTACAACCCAGAACCTCGAAGAGTCGCAGATGAACGTCATCCAATAAATGTGCCCCTCCGGCGTAGGCGTCGGGAGAGGGCCCTTGAGGTCGGTGTGGACGAGGGCGATGCGGACGAATTTTCTGGACGCAAAACGAGGGATAGAGTGTCGATGCAGCTTACCAGCTAGGCAAGGCTCGCAGATGGGATCAGGCGTACACTTCGAGCGGATGGTGAGGCCGGAAACAAGCTCCTTCGAGTGCGCCATTCGGAGATCGTCAAGATTGACGTGCGAGCAACGCTGGTGCCAAAGCGCGAGGTCCAGATCGCAAGTCGTCGAAGCGGACGACACATTCTTCGTTTGAGACACAGTCTGGCCTAGCAGGTAGCCGACGTTGTGCTCGTTAACTCGCGCCTCAAAGCGGAGTTCTCCCTCCTGGTAGAAGAACGTGTTCGCAGCCTGCAGCTCGACGACGTAGCCCTTCTCGCGTGTGAGGTGAAAAACGGACAATAAATTGCTGGCAAGCGCAGGGACATGAAGGACGTCGTGCAGTACAACAGCTGGCGGCAACACTCCATCACTCTCCACAGGTTGAAAGACCACAGACCCTAGTCCAGCCGAATAGACGACGTGCAAGTTGGCGGGGCAAATGGGGATGAGATGGGGAGAGTAGGAGCGAAACCAATAGCGGTGAGGCGTCATGTGTGCAGAAGCACCTGTGTTGGTGTTCCAGTTAGCTGCTGCAGGCGTAGAAAGCCAGGAGGCGCGATCCGAGGTGGATAGGAGGGCAGAGGCGCAACCAGCACTCACAGTGGCCGCTCCAGCGGACTCCTGGGACGCATCCTGCGTATCCTGGACGGTTTTCGACGCCTCCTTCGCCTCCCTCGTCTTGTCCTTGCCCTTTCCAGAGCGAAACTGCGTGCGCTGCGACGTCTTCTCCTTCGCTTTGACACTAGCATCGCGTTTGGAGAAGCACTGCTCCTCGGAGTGGCCAGAGCGACCGCAGAAAGCGCAGATGATGGCGGCAGCAACCTGGGAGAGGACAGGGATCGTCGATAATGCACCAGGCTGATTTTCTAGGGCGACAAACGTGTCCTGGAGCTTCTCAAGCGTGAGGGCGTCGTCCAGCAAGAGGGTCTGGCGAAGAGAAGCGAATTCGGCGGGCAGGGCGCGGATTAAAGCCATCAGGACGAGCTCATCATCGAGTTTAGCGATGTCGAAGTCCTGAGGACGAAGGGCTTTCATATCGGACTTGAGCTGCGAAGCTCGTGTCGAAAGCGTCGACAGGGACTCGTCCTCGGCCTTGGAGAGGCTCAGGAGCGCGTTGTAGGTGTTAAAACGCGTACCAGGTCGTTTCTGCATGTGCACAGACTCCAGCTTCAACCACATCGCCTCGGGTCGTCCCTAATCGCCTCCAGATGTGTCTGCTGCTCCCTCTCCACACACCCCCAGATCTCCCCAGCTGCCAGGTCCCTCCTGTTCTCGAAATCGCACATATCTCGGCGTTCTGAGGCGTCCACGGGCTGAGTAAACAAAGGCCTGGTCTCTGAGCCCTTCACAATGCGAAGAGCTGCAAGAGTGCGAAGTCTAGCCTCCATGTCAAGCCTCCATTGCTGGTAGTTGCGATTGGTGAGCTTTGGGAAGGAAGCAGGGGACGGCGCCATGATGACGACTCGAAGGGCGACGTGCGGATGGATGGATCGAGCGAAGAATGGGGTAAAACGGCGCAGAGACGAGCGAGATATCGACCAAAGATCGAATAGGGGCGAAGACAGGGGCTTAAAAGCGCAGGAAGGCTGAGAGAGCGAAGGGGGACACCTTGGGAGGGCCACAGAGCGTTTGGACAGGCGGATATGGACGTCTGGAGGCCTTCAGAGCACGGGGCTCATAACCTGTTGGCTGCAGTGCGCCTCAGAGCAATTCCAAAGGCAAGTCGAGCTCTGTAAAGTCTTCTATATTCAGGAATCAAAGATACACACCTAAGTCGAGCTCTGTAAAGTCATAACTGTACAGTAGAAACAGCTACAAAGTCGAAATCAACGAAGCAGTGAAAAATCGGATGAGTGCAGGGGTTCAAATCCCTGAAGATGCAAACATTATGGAAAATGGTAGACTGAAGGGAATGACGTCGAAAAAGTACAGTATGCACGGTGTAGTGATGGTGTCCATGTAGAATAAAGGAGAACACACCAGGACACATTCCACGATTTGGACAGGGTAATGGAGCTCAGAATAATTCGCAGAAATGCGGAATAAATTCCGAGCTCAACAAGAAGATGAGGTTGCTGACCTAGCATCCTCATCCAGATCAAGCCTGGCAGCCATCGTGATGTCCTCGTCGACGTTCCCATTGACGTCCTCATCGTCCGACCCCAGTCAAGGGGTTCCTGGGTCTTGGCCCAGGTGCCGTCATCGTACGAGTTGTAACCCACGTTCACCTCGTCGAGCCTTTCAGCCATGTCGTCGTCATCGTCGTCGGAGAGATGAGCGCGCTTGGACGCACGCAACTCCGTGTCAGAGAGGTAGTCCTCGATCTGCGCGGAGTTGTCGACAACCTGAGTGAGCATTTTGAGGTGCTCGACCGTGGGAGATACGTCAACCTTGTCGGCCAACTTGAGGGAGCACTGCAGCCATCGCTTGCAGTTGCGCATGGGGCACTTCTTCACAGGTGCACGTGTTTCGACGGTGCGGACTTTGCTGCCCGAAGGTGTGATGTCCATGACGTGGGACGTGGAGGGACCAGCCACAGACACCTGTGAGGTGATGTGGGCATGGTCATGACCGTGGCCACTGTTGCCGCCGTCCTTCTGGGCATGGGTCTTCTTGCCGCTGTGTTTACCGCACTGCTTGCCCTTGCCCTTGTCAGCCTTCTCGCCGTCGCCGCTGCCGCCATCATGGCGCTGCTGCTGCTGCTGGAAGCTCGGCTCGCCTTGCTTGCACTTGACGGCCAAGATCTTCTTTGTGTCGTGCGAAGAGGATGCCTTCTTGCCTGAGCTCTGCTCGAAGGCGAGGTTGGCGGTGTGCTGCACATTGGCGATTGTGAGCTTCTTGACCTCCGTCGTTTGCAGATGACCTGCACAACATTTTCATATCGCGACGGGAGCGTGTTTAAGGCCATCATGGCCAGGAGCGCGTCGGGGAGCTTCAAGTTGTTCTCCTCGAGTTTCTCGCTTGCATCGATGATCTTGGCGAGGAAGGGAGCGGGATGCTGGTCAGCAGGGATGCACACTGAGGTCGCAGTCCTGAAGGCCACGTAGATGTTGGCGGCATTTGTCTTGCTGTACATTGTTGCCAGCAGATCCCACAGATCCTTTGCCGTGGTACAGTCCTTAACGATCTGGACGACCAAGGGACTGAGGCGCAGGCGAATCATGCCTTGTGCCTTTCCGTCTGCCTGGATCCACAAGAAGACCTCAGAATGGTTTCTGCCGTCCTCGTTGAGCGTCGGGCACCCGCCAAGAGCTTGTCTGATCATGAACCAGACCTCTTGGTGTTGAGCTCGGAATTTATTCCGCATTTCTGCGAATTATTCTGAGCTCCATTGCCCTGTCCAAGTCGTGGAATGTGTCCTGGTGTGTTCTCCTTTATTCTACATGGACGCCATCACTATACCGTACATACTGTACTTTTCCCAACATCATTCCCTTCAGTCTACCATTTTCCATAATGTTTGCATCTTCAGGGATTTGAACCCTTGCACTCATCCGGGTTTTTCACTGCTTCGTTGATTTCGACTTTGTGGCTGTTTCTACTGTACAGTTATGGTCGCCTTACGTAACGCACACCGTAAACAGTCCGCCTCGTCGAGCTCTAAGGTCCTAAGACTTTACAGAGCTCGATTTAGGTGTGTATCTTTGATTCCTGAATATAGAAGACTTTACAGAGCTCGACTTGCCTTTGGAATTGCTCTGAGGCACACTGCAGCCAACAGAGGCTTGCGTGGGTCTTGGGCTCTTGTGGCTTGCCACACTTTCAAGATATTGTTGTCTGGCTTCAAGCAACTTGGAGTATCCTGCTTCTCAACAGCACACCCGATCACCCACCCTAGGAGGGGTGTGTAGTTGGAGGTTTTTTCACGTTTAAGCTGCTGAAAGATCAGTATTACTATGCTAGTTGCAAGACACGAGCACACACCTTTCTCATACAATCAGGCATGCCCTGCGACTGATAATACTCTTGACTGAGCATTGTCTTGTTGCATAATTGGCCCACAACAAGTCCAGGCACACCATACAAGCCCTCAAGCATCCAATGACAAACATATACCATAACAGGAATATCTGGTACAGATATCCTCTCAATCACTGTACAGTCAGTCTGTTGCTGACAAAGATGATGAGGATCCTGAGGATGTCTGGGGACATAGTGCTCATCAGTAGTAGTTAACAGTTGATGCTTTGTATGCATATCCATTTTTGCCACAAACTTGACAGTTGTGTAAGATTTTGACATATACCCTTGTATATACCCCCTACCCTTGTACTCTTGTATACCCTTGACATACCCTTACCTTTGAGAGGGGTATCATACCCTTGAGGGTAAGGGTAAGGGTACCAGGTCAAGTATCTGGAGCTATACCCCTGCAATGCACTACAGGCCACCCTGGCTCACAATCACAGCTACTGCACCATTCACTGCCACTGTCACTATGAATGGTCTTGCTCAGGCTAGTTCAGGATTTATAAAATTAATGTCATGCTGAATTAAGTTTTTCATCAGCCAGGAGGCAATCCTGTGCAAGTGCAGCCTCAAGGAGGACCTTTGTTCCCACTTGTAAGTCACAATGATGAATAAGGTAGTGTTCTTTAGCAGCCAGCCTAACCAGTACAGCACCAGGTAGATGAACCATGAACAGTACAGTATTATGCTAATATCTCTTCCCTTTAACACTAACAGTAGGTGCCTGATCCCTTCCAAGCACTCTGCCAGCAATTCTCACAACCTTTTCCAATGTAATTGGGCAAGACCCTCGCCTTTTGGAGGGCCATGCTGAATTGGTGGGGACAGAGGCAGGATGAGGGTAAAGTGGAGGAACCAATCCTCATCATGGTGCAACTGCAGGCCTGTGCCTCATACACTGCCCTTCAAGCCAGCATTACCTCTCAGGGAGGTGTGATTGACCACAACTTATGGATGCACTGGGTTCTAGCAAGGTCCATTATTACCCACAACAAGTGGGTAGAGCACTTCAATCTCTCATATCAATGACTATAACATGAGCAGGGAAATGAGCCTCCTACAAGGCTTGCTCTGTATGATACCTTCATGCAAGGCTTTGGTGTTGGGCAACCACTCAAACCAACTGTCTCCCACACCATTGTCATGGACATCCCTGCTGTCAGGGAAATTGTGGAAAAGTTTACTGCCTTTGCAGCTGGTCCTGTTATAGCTGGGAGCAGGTCCAGGGCTCTCAGAGATGGGTATGTGTCAGTGCATGCCACAGTGGGGGTGCCAATCATATATCATTATCATATCATATCTATCCACATCTACACTCTGCCAATGATATCTCCAGAGCTTGCTGTGATCTAAACCACACTTAGTACTTACTGACGAACTCACTGGCCCGTTGTACTAATCAGCAAATCTGTGAGATTGTCTAAACAGATTTGTTGGGGCCATCTGTGCTGAGCCTCTTAATGTGGTTTGCCACCCTGGCGGTGTCTGAGTTTTCTCCAGCTATCAGACAGGTCAACCTCTGCTAAACAGGGAACTCCCACCATTACTGCTGCCACCACCCAGCCTGGCTCTAACTCTCTGTATGATAGCTGTGTCTATTCCAGTGATCTTGGGGCTTCTGACATGTGACTTGGATGTCTCTGATGAACTCTGGGGTGGTGATCACTGCCTGGTACCTGCAATCACAGAGTGCAAAATCACATGCTATGATCTCCACTGAGCCCAGCTGGTATACAATACAATACATGCTGGATCAGCTGCCAAAGTGTGAGTGATAAGCCAGCAACTCAGACAGAATATCAATGATGCACCACACCATACTTCCATATCACTCAGTCCCTGTGCTTGCGCTGTATCTTGACACAGTGCTGGGGTTCAGCACAATCCTCCAGAATGAACATATACCACTGAGCTTTAACCCTCTTTATCAGCACCTCATCCCTCTGCTTCCAGCCAGTGGACAGAATCATTGGCCTTGCTGCCTCCCTTGATGAACCCACCAGTGTCTGGTGCTGAATATTTGGGGTCTGGGTCAATATTAGGTTGCTGCTTGGAAGTTGTCAAGTTGTCGAGATCAATATTATGGAGGTATGCCCTACATAGTACATTGTCGGTGATGAGCCCCAGAGCTCCATTTGAGGGCCTTTCACTGTGCTCATTTTCACTATGTCCTTGTTCATTGACTCAGTGACAATCTGATGCAAGCTTGTCGGAGAGTACACATTGACTGTGGCCATGGTCAGATTGTAAACTCAACTCAACTCATGAAGAGTCAGTGTGAGTGTGGTGATGATGTTGTGCAACTTACAAAAGGCAGCGCACAATATACAAGTGCTGTTCAAGATATGCCTGTGCCTTAGTCTTGCGGTGTTATGTTGTGGTGATGGATGTGAGTGTTGTAGATGCAGGGGAAATCACAAGTGTTCAAGATCGATTGCTAAAGATCTTTTTGGCAAGGTGCCACTTCAGGATAGTGTTGTGCAGACATTGTATGCTGTTGTAGGAGGTCTCAGAAGGTTTAGTAATAACACACTAAGACACTCTCCCCCTCAGTGACCTCACCCCACATGTCTCAGCAAGAAGACATGTCAAACAGTATGTCATGGGAGAGTGGCATAGCTGTGGTTGAGTGTGGATGGAGTGTGGTTTGCAGTGACATGGTGGTGCGTGTGCACATGAGGGAGACCAGTGGCTGAATATCCAAAGTCAGATCAAAGTCAGCTGAGCACCTAGATCCAGTCCGTGATATTCAGCAGTTACGATCCCTGAGGTACGAAGGTATCGTTCTTATGATGGACCACCATGAAACGCCTTAGTGATTCCTCCGGAATGGCAGTTTGTTCCCACAGTGCACGTGACTTGCAGCCACCCCGATAAGCAGAGATAAGTAACTGTTAGTATGGGTTGCTTATCTGAGTCTGAAATTTCAGACTCCCAAACGACGCGACTTGGACCAACAGATACAAACAAATGCAGTGGCTAAGCACTCAGTTATGGATATGAGGCCCATGAAACGCCTTAGCAGTTCCCCCAATAAGGAAACTGGTAAACATATCATGTGACTGGCAGCTTGGTGGGCCATTGCTCCAAGCGCTCACACACTGTAGGGCCTATATAGCCTCAGCCAGTAACAAATCATAGTATACATAGTATGCTCATCTGATAGCCCTTCATTCAGAGAGTATACAGAAATTCTATTGAGTGTATACAGTGGCTGGCTAACCCAGGAAATGCAAAGCAAAAAATGCACATGTGCCTCTGCAGATTCAATCTGCTTGTTTATGACTCAAATATGGTCTATATGTACACTGCAATGTATATGTGTAGTTCAGACACTGTGGACTACTCAGTAGCTTCAATAATACAGGTAACAAGGACTATAATGGGTAATCTGAGCATCTTTTGCCATATTATGGCCCTTGCATACAATGTAATGGTAACCATTGCAGCTCAAGGCAATCATACACTTGTCTTTGATGTGTCTGTATATTTCATAGATTTTCTGCATTTCTCTGAGCCCTACATGCCCCTGTTTGTGTATGATTCCTCTTTGGGAAGGTCACATACTCCATATGGTAATTATGCATCCACTGCTGGCTTTGTCTTGCTCACAGACACAATCTAGGGATACATACCTGAATGTGTACTTACACTATGATCTTATAGGGTTGTCCAGTACATGAGCAGTTCCAAGAGTGAAGTAGCAGGCTTATATAAGCTCACTGGGGCCACAGCAACCATCTTACCAGGTTATTGAGAATGCTATCTGATCTGATGTCAAACCCATGCCATATACAGCTTTATTCACATTGCCTGGATCATTTTGAATATTGTCTCAATTTTCCGCTTTTTTCTGAGTCTATACAAGCTCTCTTAAGCACAGTAACAGTCCGCACTTACATCGCTTACTAAGCGCCCATCAAGCGCCCAGATGCCGTTCGGAGGTGCAACCGTGCGGAAATTTGGCACGGTTGCACCTCCGAACAGCACGAGAGGGATGCCGAGCTGCTCTGATTGGTGCAACAAGCCCTTTTCTGCCCTAATCAGGCAGGCTGCCGAGGCTTTGAGCTGAGTTTGGATCTCAGCCACAGGCTCCTTAGTGGCACTGTACCTGCTGTACTGTGGCCTCACTAAAATGCGGAAAATTCCCAAATAATCTCTGTGATAGGTATGATGTCATAGAGTCTATAGCTGCTGTGACTTGCCCATTACCTTCACTGGTCATGGCACAATTCACAAAACAAAAAAACATGCAATGCCTCTGTGCACATGAGTGCATCCCTTTTCACCTCAAAAGTCTCTCTTTTGAGGCCTATATGCTGCCCACAGATTCTCTGACATCTCAAACCTGCTAAATAGGGTAGCTGACCTTCCTAAAATGTAATTTTGCTTAACCTACTCAGTCGGGCTCACAAAATGCAGATAAAATCAGGGAATATTATGTGTAATCAGACTCATCTGTATTGCCTTGTATATGAAGGCAATTCATCTTGTATGGAGGCCCCCACAATATATGACTAGTATGACTTGCCCAGTTGTTTGAAATTCAGGAAACAGAGAAACACATGCATGAATGTGTGGCATTTGACTGGGATACACTGACTGAAATCTAATCAACTCTTATAGAGGTTATAGAGATGATAAACTCATTTGATAGCCCATCATTTCAAGGGTTAATCATACATTGGAGGAATGAAGAACAAAGGACAACATTTAGAGAATCACAAGTGACTGTGCAGATATGAATGGCTTGTTGTCTCTGAAACACATTGCCTATGACCTGTATGGATATGTGCATAGTTTACAATGCATGGATGTGTCTGGAAGTTGCACAGCACAGCTATTGGTGGGGAAAAATGGTAATAACATGCATGTTTTGATGTCTCAGCACTGAATGACCATATAGGGAATCTTCTCCACTTGTAAATATGCTCAGGGATGCTCCACATATATCCTGGAATATTGTCTGATTAATCCGCATTTTCTTGACCCCAAAACAAGTGAATTGTGCTGCAGTAACAGTGTGCACTTACATTGCTTACTCAGCGCTCTATTAAGCGCCTGTTGCCGAAGCGGAGTCGTCGACAGGCCGGAATTCCGGCCTGTCGACGACTCCGGTCACTCAAAGGGGATTTTGGAGCACTCCCATTGGCTGAAATGCTGACAAATGTTCCCTTTTAAAGTAATCTTTCAGTCTCAGCTCTTCATGCCGAGTTTTTTGATGGCTTCAAGCCACACTAACTGAGCTCTTACTAGAGCCCCATTAAATGCGGAAAAATCCCAAAATATTGCTTCTCCATGGAATGCCCCTTGAGTACTGACAGGGGTGCCCAGATTAGGTGTTCTTGTTGTTTTTCACAGAGTACTGACCTTGGCAAGTGATACTGGGGATATAAGCAAATGTTGGTGTGTGTATGATGCTTGTACAAGACAGTTCCACATGTATGGGCTATGTGAGGTGGAGGATATCAAATATACAAAACTGCCATATATGGTTAGTCCCCTGCCCATTTGGGAAGTTGGCCGTGCATGGCCTCTGCAGGACTGGATAAATAGCAGGAAAATCAGAGAAAAATCAGATAGTACTATGGATTTGTATTGGGTTGACTGTTGAGGACATATGGCAGAAAACATATAATAATGCAGAGTTTCCCATGCATAGCCTGATACAAGCCACTCTTTCAATGAGTCTTGGTCCATCTTGTAAGCACCATTATCACCTGGAATTCTCAGGGACTGGCAGCTCCAGACAGGATCCCAGGCTATTCTGTTCAGTTCAACTCTTCAATAGGCCCTGCAAAGGCAGGCTATTGGGCTGAGTTTGAATGCAAGCCACAAGCTCATTAGTGACAATGTATTTGCTGTGCTATGGTCTCCCAAAAAATCAAAAACAATTGGGAATATTCCCAGTCATGTATATGATGCCAGAGAGGCTGTGCATAGTATGCCTTCCCATGGATTCATATAAACATGGCACCCACCATTCACAAAGCAAAATAAAATACATATGCCTCTGTACACACTGGTTTTTTCACTTTGTTTGTGTTTCCTGTGATGCTTGCCAACTGCCTATGGATTGTGTGGCTATATGAGACCTGAATGAAACCTGCCATATGTGGTACCTGACCTTCTCAAAATGGAAAGTCCGAGTTATCTGCTGTGTCTGGGCTCAGAAAATGCGGATAAAACAAGGGAATATTCTGTATGATTCCACTCACCTTATACTGCTTGCTATAAGTAGTGATTGGCTCATGTCTAAACCCTTTGGCGGGCAATGGCATATGCAGAAAATGGTGAACACCTGTGGCACAAAGGCCACAGTTAATGCTGAGTATGTTCATAATATTGGCTTTGTGTCACATGTGAATGGCATAGCTATCAATATTATGGGTTCGCAGAGCTTTATGACACTGTACTGATCCTAGAAAGTGATAGAAAGACATTGTACAAGTTGTGTTGTGCATCTACTACTGTTGCTAGAAAGTCTATAGGCTAGCAATGTCATAAAGTAGGGACACCACACATAGGTGATCAAATGCTTTGATGGTCTCTGCAATGCTAGATAAATGGTAGGAAATGAGATAAAATCAGATGATCCCATGACATCATATTGTGCTGACTGTTGTAGGCCAATGCATGACAGTACATCTCAGATGTGCTGATGCAGAGTTCACAGCCTGATGTCTGCAGCTCTATTGTCCCAGTCCAGTATAAGCATGTCTTTGACTGATTGTGTCAATATGAAGCAGTGCCAATTATACAGTATGATGGTGCTATGCTTAGTTGTTAATTCCTCATATGATTGTTGCCTGGAGCATATCTAATGTCTGTATGCACTACCATCATCCTATTCTCATGCAATGGCCCTTGGTATGTGAAGATAGAATAGGCAGCTCTTGGCTTGTTCATATGGGCAAAAATGTATTGACAGTGGTGTCTGTTTGTGCAATGTCTACTATCAGTCATATTGCAGTGTATGCTGTGATTTCTTCCTGATTGGGCTCAGAAGAAGTGGTTGCCATGGAAATAATGCAGACTTGCATTGCTTACTAAGCAACAGTGAAGAGGCCATGTTACAATGGACTTCTCAGCCAATATATGGCTGTCCTTTTATGGATCTCTAGTCAACAATATGACTTTGGGAGTACTCTCATTTGCTGCAGCTGTTTCATTTTACATGTGATGATGAAATATCAGCTCAGACTATGTTATCTATTGATATATTATCCCAGCTGGCAGGCAATCTATGAGTGACTAGTGTTCATAAGGCTGTGCTAGTGTTTCAGGACAACATGCAAGTGGTGTGTCATGAATCACAGAGCACATCCTTGATGATCAGTGAGAATTATTGGCACATCTACCCTTGCCTTACAATGAGCCTGTGAGCTTATTGTGCATCTTGAATGGCCTTGGAAAGTGGTGTACTGAGTCTTCTACTATTTTGTAGGATTCTATGAAGTATTTTATGTAGCTAAAAGGCTGTGCATAAATGCACAAAAGGAGCATCCCTATGAGCAAGTCCAAACATTTATCTCATCTACCACTTACTTCTGTACTCTTATGCCAGTGTACCTTCAATTCATCAGTGATCAATCCTGCCCATGACTCTATCAGTCTTGATGGCACTTACTATGGTGATACATTGCTTCACATTGTACTACATGAGCCCATTACTATTGACTCAGGAGCTGAGCTCCAATCCAGTAACATACCTTAGTATGGCTTTGTACTACTGGTCAGTGTCTGGTAACTGTTCACTTATGGTGAGAGCAAACTGCACATGCTTTGGTTGTATTCCTTGTATAACACATCAATTCTTGACAGGCCTTTTTCAGAATTCCTTACTGGTATACTTCTCCTCTGTATATTGGTTCCATCCTCCACTGTTGATTGGTTTGTACTTAAGGAAGTACTGTTAACAATCTACTGAAAGACATCCTTTGGTATCAGAATTTCTCTGATCAAGGGCTAATACTTGTACAACAGCACTGACAGCAAGTCCCAACTGAGTAGTGGTTACTGTAGTCAACCCCCCAGATTCCCCTTCCCTGAGTTCTAGTTGATCTAGAGGATCTCCTTACTTATTTGCAACATTCCCAAGCTATTTGCTCTATGTTACTATCAATACAAACCAGTAACACTGCTCATTAGTATTCAGATCATATTGATAAGCAACTTGGAAATTTACCAAGTAAGAAACAGATCCATAATGTCTGTTGCTCATGATTGCAAGCTATGATCCTCATATTACAACAACCTAATAAATTAGCAGGCTACTCTGAAGTGCAAAATGTGGAAGATATGTCAGTACTCTATGCATAGACAATATACTAGCAGTCTTGCCAAGCATGACTTCTGATAGTGGCAGCATGAAGTTGTTCATAAATTGACATATCTCCTACCAAAGGGATCGTACTGCCAGCTATGGCCCTCTCCCCAGCAAGTCAGTGATGGCAAGCAAAGGGTGGACAACATGTACCTGGCACATATGCAAACATAGAATATCCAAGGTTGCACCTACATCGACCTGCATAACCATCCCCCATCAGCTGGCACTGTCACATTCCACAATGATGGCTGTGTCCCCCACCATGAATTCTCTACGTAAGTCAGTGGAAGGTACTTGGATGGTCATGTAATGGGCTGATGCAGTATCAGTGAGCTGGGCGAAGGTCTGGTCTCCTTCTGTGGTCTGACACACCCTGACTGAGGACCAGTAAGAATCTTGATGTGATCACCAGGTTGCAGGCCCTTAGCATATTGGGAGCAACACAATTACAATCCCTGAGGTACAAAGGAATCATTCTTATGACTGGAGGGAATGTAACACTTAGCATGGAGCCCAATGTGGCAGGTTTTTCCCACAGTGCATGTGACTGATTGAGTGCCAAATAAGCAGAGATGAGTAACACTTACTATGCCATTGTTAGCTGAGTTTCAATTTTCAGACTCCCAGATGACGTGACTTGCACCAACATACCCAAACAAATGCTGTGGCTGACAATTCCCTATGGACTTGGGGCTCCTGTAACGTCTAGCTTGGAGCCCAATATGGAAAGTGATGAACATGGCATGTGACCTAACCAGTGGCACTGTGCTCTAATATAATCAATAACTTTTTGCAACAGTAAGCACTCACAAATAGATATGGCAAGTATATAGTCAACTTGTAGCCCTTGTTTCATAGAGTCTACGGTAATTTTGTTGGGCCCCAATAGTGGCCAGTTAGGCCAGAAAATGCAAAATACAAAAAGAAAACACAAGAGACTTTGCAGAATTCAAAGTGCTCATTTTTACCCTAGATATGGAGCAGATGACCCATACAGTATAGCCATGTGTGTCAGACATCATGAAAATGCTTTAAGGTGCCACAACAGAGCTCATATGGAGCAAGGAGAGCTTATTTGATGCTTGGACATGGTATTGTAGCTTACCTTCCATATATGGTAACATTTTGTAAGCACCACAGGCCTCATCAACATGCCATAGTACTCTATGAGTATATTCTGATTTATCTGTGATTTATGAACCACCAGACATTCACTTTATGGAGAATTACTGGATTTGGAAGATTACTCACCATTTAGGGCAATGTGAGCTTTTGTGATACTTGCAAAGGCCCTCCCACAACTTGCCTGGAATGTGTGTTTTCCTGGATAACATCAGTTACAGATCACTAAGTATGTATACATATCTCTGTTGCACCAAAAAAGGCACAATGGCTACTGGGTCTAGCCAGCCACATGATCCATGACATGGGGTTGCAGCAGATGTCACAACTTTCTTTCCAGGTTTCTAATGCGCGGAAATTGAAATGGCAATGCTATCTATCTACGTAAATTACAATGTCATTTCAATGCAGAATACATCCAAAAGCTGCCATGCAATGCTATCACATCATTGCCGGCTGATCCAAATGGCATTCCAACGACATTTCAATGCACATTCCAATGAGTTTTGCCTTTATTACCACACATTAGAACATATCCAGGAAAACATGGATTATATTGCATTATAACCCCTGCAAGAAAGTTGCGACAGTACTCACAGTGGTGTTTTATTTACAGTTGGGCAAGAACAAGTCTGCAACCACACATATCATTGAGTAATGGCTGTGTGGCAATATGCACATTATGGATTCTCTAGGATACTCAATATTCAGGATTCAATGTTCTTGTGTCTTGTGTCACTGCAATGAGGATGGTGAGCTGAGCACCATGACAATCATGATACTCCCTATAATCTTAATTTGGCTGGTGCAAGGTTATTTTTATTGTCACAGTTTGATCACTGCTTGTTCTGGTAAATCTTGGAAGGCAGGTCGTCTCTCAGATGAGTATATGTCAATACATACAATCAAGTAAGATTCAAGTAGTGGATTAATGAGTTTCTTAGAAGACCAAAGACACAGACAATACAACTGGGATTGTACTGCCATACATGACCCACTCCCCAGCAAGTCTCTCTATAATGGCACACAGAATCTGTGGTGCACCATTGAAGGCACTATACAGCTTGTAGGTGAAGCTGTACTGAGGGGACAAGTGGCTTATTTTGACAGACTTCTGTAGTAAACTGCCAATGAAGTGTGTGCCATGAAACTTGAAAGTGTTGTGTTTGACTTGAACTGCTGCTTTGCCATAGAAGTCAATCACGTCTTCACTATGGAACAGGATGGGTGGGGGTTGCACTGATGGCAGCCACTGGATTTGTGGAGGTTGTATGGAGGACACTGTCTGTATCTCTGTGGATTGCTTCACAGCTGGGGATTGCATCAAGAAGATCATCTTCTTTGCTTGTTCCCTGACCATCTTGGGACACAGATTGATCCTGGGGATGCACCAGACAATCACTGTGCTGTTGTTGTTGCTGACAGACTCTACATAGGTGGTGTCACCTTTGTACAGACCATGCTTGAACAACACCAATGACTGAGTGGACACTCTCACCAGTGCGCACTGGAAGAGTGTACAGTAGTCATGCTTGTTGACTATCTGCATGTGGTATTGATATCCTTGCCGAGATGCATATTGGAGTGTGTCCTGTATTTCCTTGGGATTTTGCACCTCTATATAGCAGATGCACCTCGAGAGCACAGACAACTTGAACATGCAAATTGAACTTTGGAATGGGACATCATCCAGAATTACACATGCCGAGGTAATTTGCCACTCAGGATGGTGGTTAACTGCTTGGTCATACAACTTAATCATGACAGCAGCTGGGTCACCCACCTGCAAGAACACACATTAGTATACGCACAAGCCAGAGCCACAATATGACTTACAAAAACCTCCACCCTCACCATGCACACATTGAATTCATCTGGTGACAACTGGCTCTGTTGTATAGCAGCTGACTCTGCAAGCATCTGTTAAGCCTTATGTAGATGTTAGTAAGACAAGCTTATAGTTGAATAGAATACTTATAGACAAAGACTAGGAATCTTTGGTAATACCGTGTTGGCAATTAGTGGTCCTGAGTATAAATTGAGGTACCAACATTGATGCCCACCAAACAGAGGTAGGATGGGTCATTTGGCAAGCTGAACCACTCAAAATCAGAATAAAGGCCAGCCACTGATCTTAGTCACTCCACTGTAGTGCCATATAATGTCCAATATTGTAGATCTCACAACTATTGGTTTCGATTCAGTCATGAATCCCCACATATGATGGTTTTCAAGTATTCTATATCTGTGTTGTATAGAAATCATACTTGCAATGCAATTTATGCCAACCACAAGATAAAGGCTTACAAAGGCTGCACTTTCATTTCTCCACAGAATGAGACACAATTGATAAAGAGCTCACATGAGTGCACCAACTTCAGCATAGATATTAAGTTGACTGAAAAACTGTGACATTGTGAAGTATACAATCCACTCAGTTGAGATATTCAATGAAGGCAATTGATGTTGATCACTGTCAATTCTCTAGGTAAGCACTACCTATACAGATTCCCTGATGTGCAACTCTTCCAATGTGCAAGTGATATCTCTATTTGGTGATTTGAGCCAGCAGAAAATGTCAGACATCACTAATCAGGACAGCTAAGCCACAGTTGGTCAAGCACTAGTGTGCAACTGTGCCACTTGACAAATTATTGGCTATTGGTCATTCAGCAATATTGACATATCTCTGTAGGGGTAATATCTGCTGTATGTACATTATGAATTCCCTAGTATGCTCACAATTCAGGATCAATCCTCTTGTATTGCCACAATAAGGATGATGAGCTGAGCTACATAAATGTCAACATCTCTATTGCTACCTTGATACATTCTAATTTTTTGAAATTGTCTTGTGCAAGGTTCACATCTTTGTTGAGTGATGTTCAGGAACTGTATCAATGGGCCTTTAGAAGACAAAGACCCAGATGTCACAACTGGGATCATATGCTCAGGTATGGCCCACTCCCCAGCAACCTATGCTGTATGTCAAGGAAGCCAGAAAATAGCAAGATCCAACATTGTGGTACTGCATTTGTGGGATCATGCTTACTAACACTCATGCTTCAACATCCTGCAACAAAATAATGTCATCCTGGATGAGGCTCACAGATCAAGGATGAATTTTCCAAAAGGTCTCTGACATGAACTGGCTGCCTGAGATGATGAGTATATGCAGATTTTCAGGTGCCTCCAGGGTGCCTCCCCAAACATGTGAAGAGAGAGTAAGTACCCTAATTAGGCAGGTGTCCCCAGGAGCAGTGAAGCCGTTGATCAAACAATCCCAAATTGGTCTAGTAGATGACTGTAGCAGGCAAATTGGGTGTGGCTGCAGAGAGTCGCTCGCAGCGGACAACTGAGCGAGCGCTGAACAGCGACGTGTGTGTCGACTGAGCGGGCCTGCGTCGGTGGTGGCCCGTCGCAGCGGCGATGAATGGGGGCCATGTGATTGGCTCGGAAGCAGACGGGACGGGGCCGGGGTACGGGCGGCATTCCCCGGGGCCTCCCAGGTTGCCGCCCGCTGCCTGGCGGGGTACTTCATCTCCCTCTCCTTCTCCCTCCCTGCTGCCCGCCGCCCGCCTCGCAGGGCACGCGATGAAGCCCATCCACCCCCGCATCTACGCAGCCCTCCCCCGCCCTGTCGCCCCCGCTGCCGCCTCCGCTGCGACCTCGCGTGTGCGCTCCAACTCTGCCTCCCGCTCCCTCTACACAGGCAACCTCGCCTTCTTCGACTCGCCCCCGCCCCCGCCCCCCAGCTCCCGCCCAGCCAACCCGAACCTCGTCATCTCCTCCCGCCTTGCCGCGGAGGTCAAGGCCGAGCTCGAGGGCCATGCAGAGTCGCCCTATTCGCAGGAGGTAGGCCATGCCCAGTCTCAGACCCACGGCACCGGGCCTCCCCCGTACTCCCTCGCTCTCACCGCCGGCCAGTCAGAATACGCGCACTCTCCTGCCCACATCAAGCCCCTCTTCCCCTACTCCTCCTTCCCGCCCGCGTTCGCCTACGGCCCCGCGCACGCTGCCGACATCCGCTCCGAGCCCGCCGCCAAAAGGCAGCGCACGCGCTACCACCTCGACGTAGGGGCGTACGGCATCCCCAAGCGTTCGCACGGAGCGTGCATTGCAGGGCGCGACGGCAACGGCAGGTTCGCCTTCGACACCCCGTCCGACCGCGCGGGCGCCCTCGGCCGAGCCGTCCAGGTGGGTGAGGACGCGTATTTCGTGCGCGACAACGCCATGGGCGTCGCGGACGGCGTTGGGGGTGGTCTAAGCACCGCCGTGCAGGTGAGTTTTGCTCTCTTTCCACCCGCCGAGTATCTTTCCACCCTTCCACCCGCTGTTTATCCCCCTCATCCGCTGTCCCCTCTTCCACCAGCTGCGTCCCTCCTTCTGCCCGCCCAGTCGCTCCGCTTCCCACCGCCAAGTCTTTTCTACCCGCTGAACAAGTCTCTAACGCCGCACCCAGGTCACGCCGAGCCCTCCCCAAGCGCTCTCTTCGCGCGGAGGCTCATGCACTATTGCTCCGAGGAGGTCGACGCCGCCGCGCCTCCACCGCCGGACGCGTCAGACGCAGAGTACGTCTCCGCATTGCGTCACCGCGATAAGCGATCTCATGACCCCATGCCCAGCCTCAGTGTAGATGCGGACTCTGCTGATCTCGTGGCAGAGCTAGAGGATTCGTTAGAGGACCTAGAGGACGGCTTAGATGTGCTGATGATCCTCGAGAAAGCGTACCAGAAGACGATGCAGGACCACGTCGGCGAAGACGCGCCCACCGAAAACGCGGCGCAGACCGCCACCACAGACCCACCACGTGCCCCCGCGTGCCCCTCACCCTCGCCGAAGCCGCCCCTCGTAGAAGGGTCCTCGACCGCCCTTGTCGCCGTGCTCGAGCACCCGCGGCCGCGCGCGAAGCCGACCCGCCCACTGCAGCTGTTCGGCCCGAGCCCGCGTCACACGGGCCAGGACCCCGTTGTCGCTGAGCGCGGCGCAATGCTCACGATCGCGCACCTCGGGGACTGCATGGGGATGCTCATCCGTGGAGAGAGATCGTTTGGCGGACCGAGGAGATGTGGTGGAACGTGAGTTCTCCCCTTGTCCTGCACTACGCTGACCCCGCGGACGCAGTTCAACACGCCCGTGCAGCTCGGCCCCGCGTCGCCACGCGGCCGCGCGACGCGCAGGTGTTCCGGGTACCCGTGGAGGCGACGACATCCTCATCCTCGCGAGCGACGGGCTGTCGGACAACCTCTGGGACGAGGACGTCCTCGACGAGGTCATCCGCTTTCGCCGGCCGTTCCTCTCCGACGCTCCTGGGGCCCGTCCCCCGCATCCACACCTACTCCCCCACCTACGCCTGGCTCACAGCCGCGCCAGCGCCCGCATCGAAGCAGGGCGTGCACCGCGTGCTCGGTAGGGGCGCGCTTGCGGCGATGTTGAGTGAGGCGCTGTGCTCGCGCGCGCGGAGGGCGGCGGAGAGAAGGGTGGATAAGAGCGAGTGGGACGCCGAGATGGAGGTCCCGTTTGCGAGGAGGGCGAGAGAACTCGGGAGGTCGTTCACGGCGGGAAGCCGGATGGTGAGTGCTTGCTCGGTTGTTGTGTTTTTGTGCGGGAACTGATTGTTCCGCAGATATTTCGGTGCTCGTCGCTGTTGTATCCCCCGCTGAGGGACACTGCCATGATCGTGCATCACGCTTTTGACTTCTATTCTAGTTGCATAGGGCATTTTACGAACGGACGCGTCGAGTCACTCCTTCATCCTTTGTGTCACCCTTGCATCATTTTGCACTATCTTATAGCATCTTGGCATATACATACAGCATAGTCCCGGCCTTTCGGTCTTCATCTTACTCTCACACATGCATCCCGTGTAACATCGTACTGTACGCGCATCGAAATGGAATTTACATCTGTACCACCGCCCACGTACACCACTGAACGTCACCTCAACTCGTGTCCATCGCCTCGCCCGCGCCCGCGCCTGTGACGGTGACGTCCTCCTCGACGACCATCTGCCGGATGTGCTCGCTCTTCCAGGCGTGGTGCCGCGGCGGAAGCCGTAGCTGCGCTCCTTCTGGACGCGCTCGTTGGGCTTGACGAAGTTGCGGAGCATTTCGGTGTGCGAGGCGGTGATCACGCAGGCGTCGACGTTCGAGCCGGAGCCGAGGTCGTTGAAGATACCCGCGGTGATCGCGGAGGTGATGAGGTTGAGGGCGTCTGCGCGCTGTCGGTGTCGTACGGTTAGACTGTGTTGTAGGAGAGAGAGGGACGGCGGGACGCACCTCCATGTTTGGCCGCCAGCCGGCCTCGAAGACGGCCATGGCGGCCAGACTACCGGAGCCCATGGTGACGTAGGGAAGCTTGTCTGTCGAGCCGTGCGGGTGGATGGTGAACAGGTGCGGCCCTGTAGCGTCGACGCCGCCCAGAACGAGCGCCGCGCCGACCTGCCCTTGGTGTCTGTCCCGAACTCGTGAGTCTCTCCTGGATGGGTGGTGGGGTCGGGCCGAGAGACGCACCGGAAGAGATACTGCTTGAGCATGGTCATGGCGGTGACCACGCGCGGCTTGCGCCCGGTGGAGAGCGCGTGCAGCTCCATGTTGGAGGAGATCATGGCGGTCGTGAACTCGGTGTCTGCCGCGGTGCCCGCCCCGCAGCACCGGATCGAGTCTGTGATGAAGTGGATCTGCAGAGTAGAGGAAGGTGCTCAGCGCCCTCGCAGAAGAACACTCGGACGGTCTCTGCAGACGCACCTTCTCGCAGTTCTTGTCCGCGACGATCGGGCCCTCCGTCGCGCGCGTGTCTGCGCCGAGCACGATGCCGTCTTTGAAGAGGCAGCCGACGATGGTCGTGCCCGTGCTGGTCGCCTTTGGGAGGGGCACGCCCCGCTGGGAGAGGAAGGTGTTTCTGTGCGTGCGTGCGGTGAATGGGCAGCTGCTCGCGAGAAGCGCATGCCTGCTCACCGGATCTCGTTGGAAAAGTCGAAGCCTGGCGAGCGGTGGACGGATGCGGTCGCCATTGCGCGCGCTGGGAGAGTGGGAGTGGGGAAAGAGGGAAGGGTCGGTGTGCGACGGCTGCTGGGCGCGCTGGAGGTGACGCGTCCGTCGCGGTACGCGTGCGCCCTGCACGCTTACGTAACCGAGGGCGTCTCTGGCGGTGGCAGGACACGTCCTTGCTTGTTCCGACGTACACTCGCGCAGCGCGCACTACTGGCCATGGCGGTCGGGCTAGTATCTTTATTCGCTTTCTATGCTCTCCTCAACTTCATTGGAACGGCGCATGCGTCGGCATTGACGACCGCTATTGGCGCGAACGAGCGACTCTGCTTCTTTGCGGACGTGGACAAGGCAGGGGAGAAGATCGGCGTGAGTGGTCACCGAATTGTACACGACCGTCAGTTACTGAGTCTGTGTCTGCACAGTTCTACTTCGCAGTACGCAGTGTGCTGCATATACCTGTAGCCTTGGCAAGACTGACGGCGCACAGGTACAAGCCGGTGGCTCGTTTGACATCGACTATGAAGTGACGGACCCGAACGCGAAGGTCCTCCTCGACGGCGCGCGCGAGCGGCAGGGCGACTACGTCCTCACCGCGAACCACGTCGGAGAGTACTCCTTCTGCTTCGAGAACGACATGTCCACCCTCACCGAGAAGCTCATCGACTTCGACATCATGGTCGAGAGCGAGCCCCGCCGCGAGCCCCCCGCGAAGCCCGGCCAGATCTCCGAGCACACCAGTGCGCTCGAGGAGAGCATATTCAAGCTGAACGGGATGCTCCAGAATATCAAACGGACGCAGAAGTAGTGAGTGAGAGCCTTGGACGGCGGCGTCCTGATACCGAATGACCTTCTAGTTTCCACACACGAGAAAACAGAGGGTTCGACACAGTCCGGTCAACACAACAGTACGTCCCATTCCCATCCCCTCATGCAAGCCCCCACTAACTGTCGTTTCCTCAGTCGACTCTTCTGGTACGCAGTCCTAGAGTGTCTAGGGATTATCGGCATGGCTGTGTACGGTCTCACCCTCTTCGCGCATTGTCTCGCCCACTCACTCATTCACCCATGCTCTCTTCAGGCTTCAAGTCTACGTCTTGCAAACGTTCTTCACGAAAACGGGGCGGCGCTACAAAGTCTGAAGGCGCTCGTGGTCTGCACTGTGTCGCTATGTGTTACTGTCGCCGGACTGTATTTTATGTCGCCTCTATTCAGATGGTCTGCGGTTTCCGGTTATCTATGCTCAAGACGGAGTACCAAGCTGGTGTCAACTGAGACCACAGCACCGAACTCTGTGCTGCTCATCACTGCCGTGCGACTGGTGTTAGACACAAAACACCGAGGTCGAGCATGTACCATATGGTCCCCGCTATTCTTGCACCCGCGAGTCCAATTGTTCGCACCCGCATGATGTCTTCTTCACCCTGCATGCGTAGGGCTGACCGATTCAGTATCTGACTCATATGAGATATACTGTTCGTGGCACACCGGTGTGCAGCCTGTCGCCAATATATTGACGATGCTTCCACTTAGCCTGAGTACTACGACGGAATCCAGCTTCGCATTTGCACGCATATACACCTGGCCCTCCCACTCCGCTACCACAACAGCCACTGGATGGCTACCCGAAATTAACAGCACACACCTCGAACTCCATTTCAGCCCTCTGCTAGTCTCCCCAGGCAGACGTAGACAATTCCTCCAACCTTCGTGCCTCGGGATATCCTTGTCTGACTCCTCTGCAGCCATTGCGCGACTGCCTTCCCACCTCCGACAAATAGATAGTTCCCTGTTAAGTTGACAAATCTGATGACCTGCGGTGAAGGGTGGGCGACTGGAAGCAGATCCTGGAAGCACGGTGCACACCAACGCGACAATGAAGCACTCGAGAGGGATCTAGGACGAGGTGGGTCGGAAGCTGGAGGGTTGCGGGGGACGAGAGTGGCAAGTACGGAATTGATGGGAGGAAAGCAGATCGCGATCTGGCAGGGTCTGAGCGCTTAGGCCCATCATTGGCGGTGGCTGAGCGGACCAGCCCTCTCCGAGTCGCTGTGACCTGCTCGAGATCCGTTCGCGTCCACCCTCCCGCCGCACCTGGCGGTCTCCTGCTCAGCCAGGTCACATCTTAATCACCATGGCGTTCTACTTCAGACGTCGTAGTCTCATCCGCATCTTCCTCTTCGTGGTTCTCTGCATAACCGCCAAGCTTGTTTTCTGGCCGTCATCCACACCGACGACATTTGACTCTCGGGAGATTCGTAAACAGAATGTTCTCGACTTTGTTGCGCGGTCAGACAAACCGCTGGACGCGCGGAGACACAAGTTTCTACAGGCGAGGCACGGGAGAGACGAGAGGGAAGACGTGTTCCACGACATGGTTAAGGACGGTGTGCTGGACTATTGGGAACGGTTTCAGAAGCCATAGTGAGTGCCGTCGTCTTACGCCCATCGCGTTCTCACTCTTTGTAGCATTGTCGGCCATGATACCGCGCACATGGACGAGCAATCTGTTCTCTCGGCCATTGAGCAGCTTCTGACGCTGAACGGCTGGGTCGCCGCCCTCTGTCCAACCCTCACTCGACCGTTCGGCCAGAACACGCACGACGACGCGTACACAGAGCTCGTTGGCCAGGAGCAGCTCTACTTCATTGGTATGGTCATCCACTCCGCGGACCACTTCCTCGTCGACCAGCTTTCCGTCATCGTCCAGTTGGCACGGCGGCTTGGCAGTTCGAACATCTTCGTCTCTATGCTGGACTATGACTCTTCGGATTCCACCTCGACACTGACAGACCTCTGTGAAGCTGTTCTTACACTGCTCGGCGTTCCCTTCCGCATTCGCAGAGTACCTGGGATGACCGAGGACCCTATCGCTGCGTACTACCCACTCGAGGAGGCATACACGCGTAACCTCGTTCTGGAGCCCTTGCATGAGCTGTATGAGAAGAGGGCAATCAAATTTCACCGCGTCATCTGGCTCAAGGGATTTACGTGCCCGAACGACATCTTAGAGACGATCAAGCTGAGCACAGCCAACGAGGCGGCGATGGTTTGCGGCATGGACTGGGCAGAGTTCAACGGCTTCTTCATCTTCTCCGACCGGTAAGCACTGATGCCGCTCACGTCCCCCATCACTCATTGCACAACAGCTGGCGAACGCGCGATATCAACGGTGACCAGTTCCGCCAATCCAAGTCCTCCTCCATCTCCAACTCGCCGCTCACCTCCGTGCCGCCGCGCGACGTCGTCGGCGCGCAACGCTACACACAGCATCTGCCCTTCCAGGTGTTCTGCTGTGAGTCCGGCACGCATGTCGTCGACCCCGCGCAGTCGTACTACGCGGGCGTCGCCTACCGTGCCGGCACGACCTTCCACAACGCAAGCACGCCCGCAGACGCGCCCGTGCGCCGCCCGGACGACAAGTGCCTCGACAGCACACAGGCGTGGTTCTGCCGCGACCTCTGGATACACAAGGCACGCGAGGGCCTCCAGGCGCTCACCGCCGACAACGAGAGCGAGGTTGCAGATGTTAAGTATCACGCTAACGCGGCTCACCACAAGCGCGCGCCGCAGCGGGACGGGGAGGTGGTAGAGGCGGAGGTAGAGGACGAGGTGCGCGGACCCGCGGCGGCGCAGGACGAGATACACGAGGAGGTGCGTCAGCCTGCGGAGGCGGACCCCGATGCAAACGCGGGCTCGGACTACGACGCGTCAGACCTCCCGCTCGAGGCGCCGCCCCCACCGCCCCTACCGCACGGCGCGAGCGACGTGGAGATGAGCATCCCGAACTCGGTGTTCCTGCCCGCGAGGATCATGGTGAACCCCCGGTGCGTGACGACGTACGCGGGCGTGGCGCACACACAGCTCGCGCTGGACCTGTTCGGGCCGCCAGATAGGGAGGAGCGGAGCGAGGACATGAAGCGGCGGGACTTGCTCGAGACGTGGGAGACCGCGCCGGAGACGTTCGTGTGCCAGGAGCAACAGTGAGTAGTTGCATTTTTTGGGATCTGTGCCGTGATGTGCTGATGTGTTCCGTGCGTGTAGACGGACAGGTGGCCGGAGGGCACAAAAGACGCAGAGACGACTCGCATTCTCGATCCACCAGGAGCTGGAAGAGCTGCTGTCATGATGTATACCGTGTGTAATGGTGCCCCTAGAAGTATATTACATGTTGCTCTATTGGGATGGTTATTTGCTGGAAGTCGTATACGTCGAGGGTTCAATGTCAGGCAAATGCCACCGGATGCGACCGAACACATTTCTCACTAAGGTCATGGATATATGAGGAGATTGCTAGTGACATATCCTCCATAACAGTCTCCGCACATCCTCTGCCTCTGCCTAGTCCACTTCGGCTGCAGGGGCCGCGGGTTGCGAGGAAACCGTCCCCGTTTTCAACGGGCCAAAGTTTCGATCTAATACAGCTTCGACTTGAGGGAGCTTCCAGTATCCGAACAGATAACTGGGGGACGTGGATGTCAGCGAACGCAGAGATGGTAGGAGAAGTGTGGGGATGGGAGAGGTACGCACTCGAAGAGCGCCATGATCGTCCACTTGCGATTGTCTGCCTCCTGCCAGACAAGGGAGCGGGGGCCGTAAAAGACCTATTTGATGGCACGGGTCAGTACAGCGTGATGTTTGCGGTCATGAGGAGGATGCGATAACAGCAGCCAGGGCTGCGAACGCACCTCGTCGTCGACTTCATGAGGCTTCCGCGGGAGGCAGTGAAGGAACTTCCAGTTAGGCTTCGCACCGCCCTCCTTGCAGAGCCGTTCCGTGACTTGATATCCCTGGAAGTCCTTGAGACGCTGCTCCTTCTCGGCCTCCTGGCCCATGGATATCCTATACACGATCCTGTATGAATTTCCTTCCACCATGAAACTGCAAGACGCTGGGCACTTACCACGTATCCGTGATCACAACGTCCGCGCCATGCACCGCCTCCCTCGGGTCCTTCGTCCAGAAGATATTCTTAACGCAGTCCCGTTCCGTGACGCGATCCCAGACGGCCTTGGGCGCGCGGTAACGCTCGTCTTCCGGGCTCGCGACACGGAGCTGGTGGCCCATGCGCGGGTACGAGACGAGCATGTCGTGGAGCACGTTCGCGGAGTCTCCGACGTAGGCAATCGTCAGCGGGCGCAGCTTCTCGATCGGGTACGGCGAGCGCAAGTCGTTGTTGGGGAGTCTGAGCTCGGGCGTCTCGCGCATCGTGAGCAGGTCGGCGAGCACCTGCGTCGGGTGCCAGAGCGAGGAGAGCGCGTTCGCGACGGGAACTTGCGAGTAGCGCGCGAGTTCCTGGGTGCGTGGGCGGGTCAGTCAGTTGGCGGGGCATGCGCCGCGCGAAGAGATGAGGAAGGGAGAACGCACCTCGATCTCGGAGTGGTCGCCTACGCGCGCGAAGATGCCCTGGCACATGCCGCTGATAACTCTGGCGGAGTCGCGCAGACTCTCGTTTACGCCGAGTTGGATGTCTTCCTGGCCCAGGAAGAGGGCATTCCCGCCGAGGAGGCTGGTGGCGGTTTCTGCGCTGAGTCGGGTACGCGTGCTCCGCTTGGAGAAGAGGAGGGCGATGGACTTGTGTTCGAGTGACCGGGAGGGTGGCATTGATGGTCTGAGGTTGCTCTTGAAGGCGGAGGGACGGAGAAGACGGAGGGAGCGGCGTTTGAGGTAGTGAGCGTGAACGACGAGGGCATTGATCTGACTGACGGAGAGGTCAGCGAGGGTCATGAAGTGCAGCGGCACTTTGCGCGCTGCTGTGGTCGTGGCCATGGCTCTGTGGGCTGAAGAGTGGCGAGTCAAGTCTGAGTAGGAGGAGGGGCAGTCCGCAATGACTTTGAGTGACTCTCAGAGGCTGAGTACTTCTGAATCTCTGCACACGCCGAGTCAATTTGATGCAGCCTCGGTCACGTGCACGTGTACTCGCGTCGCGTCGCGTCGGCCGCCACCGCATTCTCCGTCGCCCGTACACTTCCAGGACACTGTACTCATGGCACAGACTCGGAGGCTGCGGCTGTGGATGAACCGCGTGGTCGTATGGGCATGAAACCTGACCTGAATGTCCGATGATCCTTACTCGCGCTGTTTGTCAACGAAGCGTCCGTCGGCGGGTCATATCCGAGTAGGGCGCTTTGAAGCACCGTATGAGTATCATTGCAGTTCGTGAAGTCTGATTTTATTACTGGGCTGTCACAAACGTACAATTCAACATGAGGCCGAATTTGAGATCCAGTTACCATCTCGAGCTGCGGGAAGGCAAATAGTAAATATGCAGTATGATCGATTGGTCCACGCTGCTGAACGGGTGTACCGCATCAGCGCCGGGGCGTTGATTTACCAAGGTGAGATTGGCATAGGCACATTGGGTTAGCGAACAGGCGAACATACGGAGTAGCAGGCCCATCGTGACCTCGTGGTGAGGTCACAGGGAGCTCAGTGACACATCGCGGAACACCACTGATTGTGGGATCAAAACCGTTCTGGTAATCGTGAGGAGACTACGAGGGTTCTGGGATACGCGTTGGGCATCTGGGGGAGAGGAGCGGTGCGCAGTGTGCGTCGTGCTGAGCGTGCGGGACAAGAGCGGGCGACAGCCACCGTCAGCCACCGTCAGCCACCGATGGCGATCGCCCCGTGGGGTACCCCGAGTACGGTTCCGGGCAAGTTCCGGGGAAAAAGGGAGGACCCGGGAGCCCGCGTGACCCACGTGCGGTGACGTCAGGAGGCGGCGGCGGGCGCGACAGGCCTGGATAGCGCACAGAAAGGCCGCATTTCGTCCATACAAGGCCAGCTAAAATCCATTCTGGGACGCTCTCGCCCATTTTGCGCAGACAAGCCCCAGAACCTGCCATTTCTGGGCGCGGGGATTGTCCCAAAAAGGCGAGGCGCGGGGAAATCAGAGTTGATCGGCTGGGCGCGCGCGTTGAACCCCACTCTCCTCCTCCTCCTGCCCCTTCCAGCCCACTCACCCCGCATACTTATACGCCTCCTTGACGCGTCTCTCGACGCACTCTGACCCTCCGTGTCGTCGCGACCCACATCCTCCCATCTCTCCCAACCATGACCGACGTGAAACGCGACGTTCGTTCGCCCAAACTCTTCGAATGCGCCTGGGAAGTCGCCAACAAGGTCGGCGGTATCTACACCGTCATCAAGACCAAAGTACCCGTCACCGTGTCTGAGTATGGCGACCGGTACTGTCTCATCGGGCCTCTCAGCTACAAAACCGCCCCCATGGAGGTCGAGGCCCAGGAGCCAACCGACCCCCACCTCGCCTCGACTCTCGAACATCTGCGCAGTGCCGGTGTCAAGGCACTCTACGGCAGATGGCTCATCGAGGGATCGCCTTATGTCCTCCTCTTCGACACCGGAAGCCAGTATTCGCGCCTTGACGAGTGGAAGGGCGACCTCTGGAACCTCGCCGGTATCCCCACCCCACCAAACGACCACGAAACCAATGAAACGATCGTGTTCGGGTACATCGTCGCATGGTTTCTAGGCGAGGTGCGTTCTTCATCCGCTAATCGCCGCGCTCGTCGTATCTCAACAAACGCTGCAGTACGTTACGCGTCAGCTCGACACCGCCGTCGTCGCGCACTTCCACGAATGGCAAGCCGGTCTCGCCATCCCACTCTGCCGCAAACGTCATATCGACGTGACCACCGTCTTCACGACCCACGCGACCCTGCTCGGCCGTTACCTCTGCGCCGGCAGCGTCGACTTCTACAACAACCTCCAGTACTTCGACGTCGACCACGAGGCTGGCAAGCGCGGCATCTACCACAGATACTGCATCGAACGCTCCGCCGCACACTGCGCGGACGTCTTCACGACTGTCTCGCACATCACCGCGTATGAGTCGGAGCACCTGCTCAAGCGCAAGCCCGACGGCGTCCTCCCGAACGGGCTCAATGTCGTCAAGTTCCAGGCGATGCACGAGTTCCAAATTGCACCAGACGGCGAAGGCGAAGATCCACGAGTTTGTGCGCGGCCATTTCTATGGGCACCACAGCTTTAGTCTCGATGACACGCTCTACGTACGTTCTTCTCGCGCGCCGGGTGTCCATCGTGCTGATCTTGCTTCTCCCAGATGTTCACCGCGGGCCGGTATGAGTATCGCAACAAGGGTGTCGACATGTATATCGAGGCCTTGGCTCGTAAGTGGGCTTCGTTAGCGATAGTCACGTCTGACAACTCGACGTGATACCGTAGGTCTTAACTATCGTCTCAAGAAGTCAGGTTCAAAGACCACCGTCGTTGCTTTCATCATCATGCCCGCGGCGACACACTCGTACACAATAGATGCGCTGAAGGGTCAAGCCGTCACGAAGCAGCTGCGAGATACGGTCAGCGAGATTCAGAACAGGATTGGGGCGCGGCTGTTTGAGCATGCTATTCGGTCTAATGGGTGCGTGTATATCCGTTGCCCGTTGTAAGCCAATGAACTGACTTCGAGACAATAGCGAGCACGGAACACTGCCAACACCGGACGACCTTCTTTCAGATGAGGACAAGGTGCTCCTCAAGCGCCGGATCTTTGCTCTGAAGCGCAACGCCCTTCCGCCGGTCACGACGCACAACATGGCCGACGACGTGAATGACCCGATCCTGACCCAGATCCGGCGGGTGCAGCTGTTCAACGACGAGAGCGACCGTGTCAAGATCGTGTTCCACCCCGACTTCCTCAACTCGAACAACCCCGTGCTTGGCCTTGACTACGAGGAGTTCGTGCGCGGATGCCATCTTGGCGTGTTCCCGAGTTATTATGAGCCGTGGGGATACACCCCGGCCGAGTGCACGGTGGTACGTGCGACTGTCCTTTCTCGATAGTGTACAGCTGCTCAGAGCCTCTGCAGATGGGCATCCCCTCCGTGACGACGAACCTGTCCGGCTTCGGTTGCTTCATGCAGGACCTGATCGAGCAGCCGGAGGACGAAGGGTGCTACATCGTCGACCGGCGCTCGCAGTCGGTCGAGGACTCGGTGAGCCAGCTGACGGACTGCATCTTCAGCTTCTGCCAGAAGACGCGGCGGCAGCGGATCAACCAGCGGAACCGCGTCGAGCGGCTCAGCCCGCTGCTCGACTGGAAGAACCTCGGCATCGAGTACTCAAAGGCGCGCCAGCTCGCGCTCCGCCGCGCGTACCCCGATGCGTTCTACGGTGCCGGCGCGGAGGGCGAGGAGGAGGAGTTTGACTTTGGTATGGAGAGGATGCCGCCGAACTCGGTGCCTGCGAGCCCGAGGTGGAGGATGTCGGGCGTGGCGACTCCAGGAGATATCGGGACGCTCACGGAGGAGGTGCGTGTTCTATGGTGCTTAGTGTGCGGCTGAATGTCTGACGTTTTACCCTCGTCTCCATCTAGATGCAGGCCCTGGGGACGAGCGATTACCGCGGGTACCACTGGCCGTCCCAAGCTGACGACGAGGACGAAGGCTATCCTTTGTACGTCCGCATCGTTCTCTCATTGACTGATCTCTCCGGGACTGACGGCGCCGCGCTCGTCCGTCCAGCCCTCTCGTCATGAAGGTGCGGTCACGCGCAAGCTCCGTGATGTCCGGTGCGAGCACGCCAGGAGGCGGCAAGTCAAACAGCTTGAGCGAGGGCGATCTCTACAAGGCGGATGCGGCGCTCAGTCAAGTCAATGGTGTGAACGGGGTGAATGGCAGGCACTAACGGATTGTAATGTACGTCGTGATGAATACATGGTACCATTAGTTGTGTGTGTGGGAGGGGCATTGCCTACTAGCTGTACAGTTTCATTGCAATCAGGCCCATCTGAGGATGTCAGATAGAAAACAGGATTTACATTTAAACCCTAGGAATGCAAATGGTTCCTTGGCTGTGTAGATTAGTTAAAATATGCCAATCTCATCATTATCTGGGACACTTACATGCAAAATGAGTACCTCATGCACACTTGCTTCACATTATCCAGTCATAACTTGAAGCTGACTGTATTTGCCTGATTGCAGTCTGCCTGTTCAGATGCATATGTTGGAGTTGTGGATGTTACGCAAAGTGTGACACCCTGAGCACTAGCTCACAACCTAACCCTCACAACCTAACCCTTAAGCTCGGGTCTTAGGCTGTTCAATCATCTTTGTGGCGGTAGAGGATGGTTCACAGACACTGCTAAGCATGTCTAGCAGGTCGAGCGGGGTGTCGTTCACACTGGAGTATTGCAAAGCAGGACACTTCTATAGATCAAACCAGGTCGAACTGAGGGTTCGACCTCTAAAGTACACAGGCTTATATACATGAGGTGTTCAGGGCAGGATCCAGGACGAGTCAGGTAGAGTAAGCCAATCAGCGACGAGAGGGGGAGGGATGAGTCACTAGGAGTCAGGGGTGTGAGTCATACCAAGTCAGAGGGAGTCAGAATGAGTCACAGAGTACATGTGATAGTCCGGGTTGAACCGGACCGGGTACAGAGCGAGCTGGATGCCGAGGGTGCGTGCTTGTTAGTGAATTGCAGGGGTAAACCCCCGGGTGTCCAGGGGCTTACCCGTACCCGTACCTGCCCGGGTACCAGACCCGCTGTGCGGGTACGGGTCACGTGCGGGTATGGCGGGTCTGTGGGCCGGTAGGCGGGTCGGTGAGCGGATGGGTGGGCGAGTGGGCGAGTGGGCGAGTGGACAAGAACACGAGAGGCAGTCGTGCAGGCGAGCGAGTGAGTGGGTATGTCACGGACACACCCTCCGCTGTCGCTGTTCTCCCCACTTGCCATCCTCTGTGCTCGCAGTCCCCCGCACTCGCGCTCGTGCTCATGTGTTCCCTCCATCAGCTCACCCCACCCCTTCGCTCGCAGACGGGAGTGTCCGCTCGCCCCCGTCCGGACCCTTCCTGTCTGCATGCGCCGTCCGTACGCGCTCCCACCTGCTTGCGGCTGTGCCCGTATCCGCGGTGCACTCGTTGGCTGCATTTGCACAGGGTGCTGGCCCTACGCGCTCGCAGTCGGCGTGTGTTGCGCACACCCTCGCCCTGCCCTCCGTCACCATCTCACGTCTCTCGCTCACGCGCACATGGTTCGTCCATCAGCTGTGCTTGCGTGCCGTGCGTCGTCGCGCAACCGCGCACGATCCACTTGCCGGCTGTGCTTGCGTGCTGGGCATTCGCCCTGTGCGTTCACGGTCACCGTGGGTGTCGTGCTGCACGACAACGCGCCCTGGTGTCGGTCCACCCGTTACACCCTGTGCCCATCTGCCCGCACGCTCGTCCATTCACTCACCCATGCACTCGCCCGCTCGTCTACCCGCTCGTCCGCTTCGCAATTGACGTGAGTGCGGTCGCCGGTCGTCTGTCCGCTCTCCCGCCTGGCTGTCCGCAACCCCTGCCCGTTCTCCGGCCGTGCATGTGTGCCCAACGCCCTCGCGGTCAATGTGTGCTGTCGCCCATCCTCGCGTTCGTCTGCCGTGCCTACACGCAGGGCATTGGCCCTGCGTGCTCGCAGTCGTCACGCACGTCGCCGGTGGCCGCCTCCTGTGCCTGCGGTTAGTGAGGTTGCTCGCGTGTGTCTGCACGTACCTGCAGACCCTTGCCCTTGCCCTCACACCTGCAGACCCTCGCCCTCGCCCTCGCCCTCGCCACGCTCTCGCCCGTCCCCGCCAGCCAACCACCCTTCCTCGCACTCCACTCGTCATCCACGCCTGCCGTCTGGTCGTCGCTGCGCCCGGGTTTGTGGTGCGTTGGTCGACTGCGTCTGCGTGTGGGGTGTTTGCCGTGCGCACTCGTCGCCCGCGTGTGCACTGCTTCTGCCCCTGCACTGTCCCCGCCCGCTCTCCCGCCCACTCTCCCGCCTGCTCGTCCACCCTGCTCGTCCACCCGCTCTCCCACCCTCCGCTCGCTTGCATGACCGGTGCATTGCTCGTCCACGCCTGGTCTTCCGTCACCCGGTTCGCCCGCCCACCCGCCCGCTTTGCGCGCGTTCGTCGGCCGTCACGGTGATTGCGTGCTGGGCATTTGCCCAGCGCGCTCGCGGTCAGCGTGTCCTGCCGCCTGCTCGCTCTTCTGCCCGCTACTTGTTCGTCGGCCGTGCCTGCACGCAGGGCATTGGCCCTGCGTGCTCGCGGTTGTTGTGCGTGTCATGCGGCACATCACCGCGTCCTGTACTTCCTGTTAGCAAGCCCACTTGCGCCTGCCTGGACTCACCTGGCCTTCGCTGTCACCCTCGCTGTTACCCTAGCCCTCGCCCTCACCCTCGCCCTTGCCCGTCCACTCCTCATGTACACCTGCTGTCCGTTCGTCGTCCACACGGCACGTCTGCATCTGTTCGTGGCAGCGGCCAGGCCCATGGTGTTCATCGGCTTCGTCTGCGCGAGGGCCTATGCCATGGGAGCTCGCCGTGCGCGTACACCATGTTGCGGCACTTGAGGCCGTGCACGAGTCGACCTGGTGGATGGAGAGAGACAGGCCGGGGGAACCGGGGCATCCCCGCGAGTTTGGGCGCTCGCAGGGTTGCCGCTTTTGGCAATACCCGCACGACTGCAGGGCAGGTATGCGGGTACAGAAATCACTACCCGGACCCCTACCCGCGAGTACCCCTACCCGCGACCCTCGTGGGTTACCCGAACCCCTGCAATGCACTAGTGCTCGTGTGAGGTTGCACTCACATTAGTATAGTACAAGTTGACGAAGTAAAATAAAATGAAACGGACATTGTCGTAACAGTGGATTTGAACTGGCTGCTACAGTGTACCACCACTCCTTTTCACACCACTATTCCTTTTCACATTTGCCCTGACATCAATGTTCTCCTGCTGCCCCCTTACCCTTACCCTCAAGGGTATGGTACCCTTCACAAGGGTAAGGGTATGTCAAGGGTATGTGCAAGTTTTGTGAGGACTGGGTGCAGCTCTCACCTGCAATGTCAGTATCAGTGATGAAAATGCAGTCCTAAATGGGCAGTTGAACTTTTGTTGAGGCTCTGACAGCGTGATTATGATCCCTGAGGTATGAGGGTATTGTTCTCATGATGGACCACCATGAAATGCCTTAGTGATTCCTCCGGAATGGCAGTTTGTTCCCACAGTGCACGTGACTTGCAGCCACCCCGATACACAGAGATAAGTAACCATTAGTAGGGGCTGCTTATCTGAGTCTGAAATTTCAGACTCCCAGATGACACAACTTGCACCAACAGAAACAAACAAATGCAGTGGTTAAGCACTCTGTTATGGATATGAGGCCCATGAAACACCTTAGCAGTTCCCCCAATAAGGAAACTGGTGAACATCAGCCTGCAAGCGCTCACACATTGTAGACCACTTGTAGTCCCAGTTAATAACAAATCACAGTATACATAGAATGCTCATCTGATAGCCCTTCATCCAGAGAGTATACAAAAATTCTTCTGAGTGCATACAGTGGCTGGCTAACCCAGGAAATGCAAAACAAAAAATGCACAAGTGCCTCTGCAGATTCAAAGTGATTGTTCATGACTCAAATATGGGCTATGTGTACACTGTAATGTATATGTGTGGTTGAGACACTGTGGACCACTCAGTAGCTTCTATAGTACAGGTAATAAGGACTATAATGGGTAATCTGAGTATCTTTTGCCATAATATGGCCCTTGTATACAATGTAACAGTGACCATTGCAGCTCAAAGCAATCATACACTTGTATTTGATGTTCTATATATTTCATAGATTTTCTGCATTTTCTGGGCCCTACATGCCCCTGTTTGTGCTGAATTGTTTGTGCTGGATTTTTCTTTGGGAAGGTCACATACTCCATATGGCAATTATCCAGCCACTGGCTTTCTCTTGAACATAGACACATACAGGGTATACATACATACATCTGTACTTACACTATCATCTTATGGGGATGTCCACTACATGAGTAGTTCCTAGAGTGGTGTAGCAAGCTATATAAATCAGCTCACTGGGGCCACAGCAACCATCTTACCAGGTTATTGAGGATGGTATCTTATCTGATGTCAAAATGATGGCATAGACAGCTTCAATCACATTGCCTGGGCCATTTCTAATATTATCTGATTTTTTTGACATAGACAATCCAACTGGGATTGTATTGCCATGCATGGCCCACTCCCCAGCAAGTCTGCCCTTGGAGAAGATGCACCAAGGACTCCATGACACCAGCTCTGGACACTCAACAGTTTATGCAAGGTGAAGGTGAAAGGTGTGAAGGGCTTGACACCATTCTTCAATGTGTGCAAGGAGTTCAACATCTCTGGCTACATTATTGAGCCATTTTGGAAAGACCTACCCTTTACCAACATCCACATGTGCATCACCCCCAATGTCCTCCACCAGCTTGACTTATGGATGAGAAGGAACTTGATGTGCACATTCAGTGTCTTCTGCCCGTGTATGGAACCCAACACTTCAAGAACAGGATTTCTGCCCTCTCACAGGTATCTGGAAGTGAGTGCAAAGATATGGCTTGCATCCTTCTGGGGTGCCTTGTAGGTCAGGTCCCTAACACTGTCATTTGCACCTTCCACACACTGCTTGATTTCATTTATATAGTACAGTATCCAACTCACAATGAGACGACCCTGTCATACATTAATGACACATTGTAGACTTACCACAAGAACAAGTCTATCTTGAAGACTGTTGGTATCTGGGAGCACCTTGACATCCCCAAGTTCCATTCCTTACACCACTATATTGACTCTATTTGAAACCTTGGTACAACGGACAACTACAGTACCAAAATATTCAAACACTTGCACATCAACTGCACAAGGAAAGCTTGGCAGGTATCCAATCATCCACAGATGGTCAAGTGGACAGACTGCCAGGAAGAAATATCAATGTTTTGGACACTTTGCCAGAGGCTTTGAGAGGACTCTAGCAATGCTGAAGACTCTTGTGTCCCTCCAGAAGTCCACCCACACCATCCCATGATGCCCAAGCAACCCTCAGTAGTCCAGCAACTGATCCAGTC